AGCACTTCAACTGGCCCACTCTCATCAGGTGATGGATATGAACCTTCTCAAATAAATGTCTTCTTGTCTATGTCACGTATCACCTTGTGATGTGGGTTATCTCACTCCCTATTGATACCAAAAATTAGGGGATTTTGGGTGATGGATGTGAAGCACTGAATTTACTCATTTATAAAATACTTTTTTGTCAAATTGATTACTAAGCAACTTGGGAACAGATTCAATCAGTCATACATTGCACAGTATCTTATGCAGAGGAAGTTGAACAATTTTAGCAAAACAAAGAAACCCACCAGACTCAGTGGGATTACTGGTGTCATAATCTCAATCAAATTTTCCTAATCTCAGGAGTCAAAAAATCTGAGAAAAATATAATAAGTCTTGGATGCAAACACTGTCATAAAGACAGACCATGAGCATAATCCTTGAAAAACTGGCCTTTATCAAGCTGACAGACTTGTTTGTGACTTCTGTATCTTAAAGATATGTATATATGTCAAAGTCTCAGAAAATATTGAGATTTCTTCAAAGCTGATTTTGCCTTAATGAGAAGCTAACCAGTGAATGAGGGTAGGTGGAAAGGGAAGGGGGAGTTTTTTTGTGTGACTATTGGAGCCTAAGACATCTGTGTATATATTCTCCCTCATTTGCAGCTGAGTATTTCAGCCTTTTGCTTTTCTTTGTTCCTTTGTTATAAAAGTGTTGAGTTTCCAAATACATTATTTAAGATTAGTATGAAAATTTAATCTGAAGGAGGTTCTGGTTTTGGGATCCTAAAGTTTGCTATTACTTGGAAGATTTTTGTGCTGTTGTCATCTCCTCACTTCCCTTCTTCCTTATTTTTATTGTTATTTTTTCTCACTCATCATCTTCCATCAGCTGCCGTTATTGTAGGTAGACTTCTGTGACAAAAGAGACTCTTCAGGAAAGAGTTCTGAAAATGGTCAGAATAATTTTACAGTAAGAAAATCTCTGGGGGATTTCCTGCTTGTCTGTTCCTATTCACACACAAACAGAACAGTAGAAATCATTGAGAATTCATCTATTCCTATAGTGCAGCACTCCCTTTGCAGGTCTGGCTATGTGTACATTCATCTTATCCATATCTCAAAAATATACAGTGAGAGTCAGCACCAAAAGCTAACAATTTTTTTTGGAGCCACCTAAATATATTTTGCTGGTAGAAACTGCCTTATTCTGGTAGTCAAGCAGAATAATTAGTTACTTAGTACTAAGCTCATCTGATTTTATACTGCATATAATCAAGTTCCTATGACTCCAAAATTTTAATTGCATGGAAACTCTGTAAGATGTTCTGTCTTAACGTGATATCTATCCTTTGACGTTACAACATGCTGACCATCCAAGAACCCATATGTTTTTCATGTAATAACACTAAACATTCACAGGATAAGCATATTTGGAGAGGTATATTTTCCCAGAAGTAAAGGTTTTGAAGTCCTCAACTTACAATGTGAGATAGGTTGTCTTTTGCCTCTGGATTCCTTTGTCTCAATCAATTGACACAATGAAAATAAACATCAGACTGTAATTATCTTTATGAGGGATTTCACAATTTTTAGAAGGGAGGTATGAAAGTCTTATGTCAGCTGCCTAACCCACCACTTCCTGAAAGGGAGCTCAGCTTTTAAAAATTCTTCTCTGGTGGTTGTCTCTTGCAAATCAACAATCACCCTGGTTCTGCAGTGTTTGGCTTTTATCAGTGTAAATCTGGAGAATCTTCATAATTGTTAGCAAAAAATTAATATCCTGGAACCTAAAGGGAGATTTTACATCTTTCTACACAATCATTAAAAGACCCCATGAAAAGTAGTTTTGTAACTACAGTCCGGCCCACTGAATCCTTTAAAGAATAGTGATAAAATTATTACAGAATAATCTGACAAGAATAATTCTGAGACTTTTAGCTGGTATATACTGTGCTGGCATTAATAATTTCTGATCACCTAGCAAAGTACCTCACCCAAGTATACCTAAGCAAGTCACTTTCATTTAATTTACCTTCTGAAGGACATGACAGCATCTGTACATTTTGAGATGTAATTGCTGTTATCCTTCAGTTTTTTGAAACAAACACAATCATCCTGAATTACTGACTTTCCGTGACAATTTTTTGAGGTTGCATTTTTTTAAACTAATATCTTTCAGACAGGTCCTGAATAATGTAAGAGGATAAAGCCCACATGAAAAAAGTCAAGAATTCAGAAATGAAATTTTAGCTGTCAAACTTTAACTTAGTTGTTCTTTATTCCCTTAATATTCTTCAAACAAAATCCATCTCACTCTAGTTCATAAAGAACATTACCCTAGAGGACATACTACCTCTGACTTTTGTTTCAGGTTGATTTTTACGTTGGAGCATTGAACATTAAAAAAATCCATATTCTAAGCAGTTATTATGTGGAACTGCTGCCAAATATGTGCTCCCTCCATTTGTTTGTTTTTTTTTTTAACTGCCTATGTGAAGGAAAATAATTTCAGATCCAATCCTCAAGATGGATGTACAAAGGTAAGGCAGCCATTCTCTGCAGGATTTCGAATGGAAAGACAAATTTCATAGAGGAGATGTCACCACTGCTCTGATTTAGAAAAGTACCCAAACAACCATATACAAAATAAAACATCAGTTCCTCTGGAAATATTTCTCAGGGTCACTTGTTTGCATATAAAAGTGTCTCAGAATGCCTGGTAATATGACAGAGCATGCTTCAAGTTTTAATTACTTCTAGGGAAGCTTAAGCTGTATTGAACTTGCTGTAGAAATGCTGTAGAGATGGCTAGAAAACCAAAGTAATGACCCTACACACATGGCTCAAGGTGAGGGCTAAAGTAGTGTGCTCAATTCTGGCTTCTCTTGTGATTGTCAGTACACAACATATTTGTATCTGCAAACAAACTTTGGGATTTCATGGCTATTTAAATGGTGAGGATCAGAGAGGAAAGACCATTAGAACTACTTATCCAACAATTTATTAGCAAGTTTTTAATGCTGAGCCAGAACTAACACCTAATGACTTCTAATTCCTTCATTACTGTTCTGAAAGTGAACCAGACATGCAACTGGCTTGGCAGCACTGGCTGAGCTCACCCCAGGGGAAATGCCAGATCTCGCACTGGTGTATTTAATTAAGTTTAATCCCAATTCCTGAAACATTCAAGGGATAGTATTTGAACTAAAAACACCTCAGAGTACTTGGTTCCCTTCTTTCACTTCTGTTGTCTGCCACTTCCAAACTGCCCTCAGATATGTAGTTGTGAGCATGAGGATGCTAAAGAGAGAGATATGCCAAGGTATCTATGTGGAAGTATTGTCATTAGCATCTAACAGGAAAGCTTTTACTTACTTTTATTGTACTTCTGAAATTGAGAAGTGACCCAGGGAAGCTAACAGTTGAAAGCACCTGGAAGATCACAGATGGGACTGAAAATACTAACATTCATCTGAGATTTCCATTGGGATCAAAGGCTATATAAGCCTTAAGACCTCAGATTCAGTACAACCCTCTCGAGGTATGTTGTCTGAGATAATCCAACTTCTTCCCAACTCTAATTTATGTGTGCATTTGCTTTGTTTGTAGAACTTAATGACTTTTGAAACACAATATTTAGCAGGTAGTTTTAGCAAAATATCATGTGTACAGTTAGTGTGCATACATTACAGCTGTACCAAGGCAATAAAACGTAACAGAAGCTCCCCTGAAAATATCTGTGTCTCTGAATGTCAATAATCTGCATACAAAAAAGCCCCAAAGCACTCACTAACATGATAGATGGGGCATTAAGTGATGCATATGTAGTCCTTACGACAATACAGAGAAGAAGCTTTAGAAGCATTATTCTCTACTCTAAGAAAAAGTTCAGCAAGCAAGGACACATCTCTTGCAGACTTTTAAGTCTATTATCTAAACAATTTTAAAAAATCAGATTTGATGCAATTTAGTTCAAGCTCAGATTAATGCAGGTTTAACTGGCCACATGCAAGAAAAGCTTCTGGTAAACCACTTCCCTTAATTGTCTAAAAAAGGATTGCTTAATTATTAAGCTAATGCAATTTTATTTCTGCAGGAAATGGATCCAAATCCATCAGTGTGGATAAAATATTTTAAGTGGTTTCTCAAAATTTAAAGACTAAAGTTGATAGAGACTTATCTGGTTTCTAAGTGCAGTTTCACTGCCTAGTGAATAAGACTTCATTCACTTCACAGACTACCCTGGTGCTCAGAATCACATGGGTACAGTCAAAGCTGTTCTTGCACAGTGTGAATGTAGCATGACACACGTAGTGCAAGAACACCCAGCTCTAAGAAAATGGGACCACTGGACCAGAGCTCTCCTGTTTCTGCCCAGAACTTCTAAGATGGGCAGAGCTGAGCATCAGTATGGATATGGTAGCTGCTGATCTGTTAAAAAATAACCATGTCATTGGAGTGAGTATCAATGAATGGCATTAAGTGGCATCCTTAGCTTTGGAACCTATACTAAGAACCTTAACAGAAGTATTTGATTATTAGCAGGATAAAAATTTGGACTGTGATTTCAAGAGGATGCATCCACCCCTTGCACTTGTCCATCTGCAGAAGCTGACACTCAGGATTATCTCTTAATGAACTGCTAATATTGTTACCCTCTTAAGCTATCCTAAAGGGTGACTGCTGGGCAAATGTCTTTTGTGAATGTCACATGATGAATCTGTGGAAAAAAATTAAAAAGTTTTCAATGGGTTTTTCGACAGGAGACTTTAAAAGCAAAAGACACTCTTCAGGAAGCAGCATCCTAGAACCATCATTAGGTATGTTTTTCTGGTTCATCAGGCATTTTAGCTGTTATAAGCTGAATGCCCATAAGGATTGAGTAATACAAAGTGGAATTTCTCAGCCTGTGTGGTCAGAAGGTGTAGCCTTTGCTTCATTTCCCATTGCAGCGAGAGAGAATGCACATGCTCTTTTAAGACCTCTAGGGATTTGTATGTGGCATCCTACCTGCAATGGATTTGGTGAAGTAAGAGGAGATGGAAGGCCATGCCCTGGTGACTGGCTGGGTTTCTGAGGGGAGCTGGAGGACTGTGAGGCTGGAGGTGGCTGGCTCTGGCTCTGGGACTGTGTTTGGTTCTGCTGTGGTGGTGCTGATGGCTGTGGCTGTGATTGCTGGCTCTGCTGGGTTGGCTGTGGAGTCTGTGCCTGCTGAGCTTGCTGCTGCTGCTGGCTTTGCTGCTGCTGCTGCTGTTGATGCTGGAGCTGCTGAAGATGCTGAAGCTGTTGAAGCTGGGAGTTCAGGGATGAGGTAGCTGTGAATTGAAGAGAGGGAACGAAGTTATACAAGTTTCAGTAAATACCTACTGCTTTAAAAGTATTCTGGATAAAATTCTGGTTCTGTTACTTTGAGGGGCATACTGCTTAGAGGACAGCTGGCCCTAGACTTCAGGATGTGGGAAGAAATTATTCCCACCAATAATAGCCTGTGGTTCTGCCTGTGTAATTCTGTGGTAAAGTGCCAGACTTCCCTGGGGGCAATGAAAGCAAACCTTTGAAAGGGATAGAGAACTGCCACAGGATGGGGCTCAGAGCTGACCAAGAGAGGCTCAGATAAGCTTACCAATGAAGCCAATGGGAATATTCTCTATCTATAGAAGAGAGGAACAGATTGTCACTGTACTTGTAAGTATAGCAAGAACTCATAACATGAACCAGTGCTGTTATGTAAAGGAGGAGAAAGCCATAGTCATAAAATAAAGGGTACTTTGCAAAGAACTTTGACATGTTATTATGCAGTAGGTATCAGGAAATAAAACATTCAGCTGCAAAATTTCTTGTGCGATGCCTAGGGAGCAAAAAATACATAATAAAATGTGTGTCTCTCTGAAATAATAACTGTTTCTTATAATTCACATCTAAAAGCTATAAATTCCTTCTTGTAACTTGCACTGCTTACTTACTCCTGATAGTTAAGATCCGTTGTGTTTTGCTAGCATATGCTTCAAATGTGATGTTTGGAAGTGCATGGCTCACATCAACCTGCTAGCACAAAGGGCAAACTTTATTTCCCAGAGACACTTTCAAATTGACTAGGACATTCATTAAATTAAGGAAGACAGGAAGTGTGTCATAGGGATGTCACTAAGGAAGAACAGCTTTAAGCTGCAGCAAGAGCATCACAGAAGACTGATGCTTTCTGGGATTATGCCCTGAATAAATCACCTCGGTCTCCAGACATAGAGATGTTAATCAACATCTTAAGGGTTGAATTAGTTAGCTATAAGATCCCAAGAAAAACAGCTTGCAAGGTCATTATGATATTTTTTGCTCTGTATATTGCTTTGCCAGCACCACCCTGTATTCTAATTTCTATCCAGAGAAGCAAAAGTAAATTGGGAATGAATTAAATTTCTTATTTTTAAAATGGCCCTCAGATTTCATGGCCAGAAACTCTGTTGACCAAGTTATTTGTGGACTGGCAGATTAAGTCACATCATCTCCACTTTCTTTTCATGCCGACATCCCTATTTCAGCTTTCTAGATGTCCATGGCCTGAGGCTGAACCTGAGGTCTTGGTGCAACTTATGAAATCAGTGAGCCATAAACTGGAATAAGAAAAAGAAAAAATAAAAAGACAATGGAGAAGGATGAGGCAGAAAGGGTAAACCAGAAAAAGCTGTAAGAAGGAAAAGTATAAGACTAGATAGGAAGAGCTGTTGGCTCTCCATTCCCATACTCATAGCTGCTCTAAATTTTCTTCATCCGATGCAGGAATCAAACTAGAAATATGCTTTAACAAGAATTATAGCCATGTGTATGTGACTTCAACAAAGAATCCTAATAATACAGAGGAGGACTGATAATACCAATATATCTCTATCAAGAAAATTATTCATAGAAGTTTTGTGTTTCAACACAAAGCAGAGTGACCATCAGATTAAAAACATGCATGTTATCTCATGCAAAAGAAATCACCCTGGAGAAGTAAGGGAATACTCCCATCAATTTCCCAATGAGAATTTGAACCTAAATGCCCCAAATCCAACAGGGTACTGAGTGGAAATATAATCCAAGGCATGTGAGAACAAAGAAGGTGTGCATATAAGAAAGTAACTGCATAGATTATTTAACGATTCATAGCACAAATCATCTCAGATGGCAAGGAAAAACATTCACCAATTCTATCTGTAGAAGCAGAAAGACCCTTACCATTCCCACAGGAAAAAAGTAATCTAGACCAGCTCTTTCTATTGTGCGGGCCATTCCTTCACCTATGATAGCTTAGCAGACTGGATGAACCACTGATAACCAGAACCAAGACTTCAAACTGACCCTTACTGCATCCACAGACTCCAACACAGAAATTAATTAAATGACATCCCACAGAAGCATAAATTCTAAACCACATGGCTCAGAAATGAGGGACTGTTTTATATTGTGTGTGCACAATTGGACAGGAGGAGACACAGCCTTCTCATCTTGGACTAGAAAATCTTTGCTTTCAATACTGGTCAATACTTGAATATTGGTGAAAGCAGGAAGATCAGTATTCCACCATTCACTTTTGTACTGGAAATGGAAACATTCTTGCTGGGGTAGAAGATATTCCCTGAAGGATAATCTGATTAATGACTTCATGGAAAATTTTCCAAGTTTGTTGTCAGCAACTGCACAAGATTATTCAAACACGAAATTATTCAAATAACTTCTTGTGTTTTCATGTCATTCTTTTAAAAAGCCTCTCTGAAGTCCATCATCAAGCTGAGCTATAAATTCCATTGAAGTGGCTTAGAGAGGTATGATCATTTAATATGCTGTTGCTAAACCAACAAGGAATTGGAAGAAGGACTGTTAGATCAGAAAAGGTGTTCTGAAAGCCACACAGTAGGTGTACCATGAAGCTGGATTTAGGGCTCTGGATCATGCTTGTGTCTGGTGTTCATTCTGCCAGATTGCACTGCCTCTCACAATGTGTGTACTATCCACAGCTGGGGTTGTGTCATATTATTGTTTGCAATCAAATCCAATCCAACTCCCAGAGCTGGCTTGCATAGCTCATCCATTATAAATAGTATACCTGTCTAGCATTTGTCACTTTCTGCAGAGCTTGGAGCCTGATGGAATTTCAGGTGGTACAACAGTGCTATGTCTGCATGTATAAAAGATAACATGCACTGCCTACCTCACAGGAATCTTTTTTATGACTTACTGGCTAACAGCTGGGTAAAAATTTGACATATTTTAGTGAAAAGTGCTACTTTCACAATTGCATTCAAGAATTAAAAAGGCTTGCAAAGAATTGCAGAAAGTTCTTTTCACGGTTAAAAAGTTCAACATAAAGTACATCACTTTAAAAGAGACACACAACTAAAAATGTATGCAAGCAATAAAAAACTATGAGGAAAATCCTCAAAAGCTGTGTGACATTTCAACTCTCCCTAAAAAAATATGTGTTGGATATATACCAGGTATCCAAGATGATGGTAAATATAACTGATATCTATGAAGAAACAATGGAGCATGGGGTTTCAAAACCTATGGTTCCACAAACTTCTTGCTTGCTGTGGTGTTGTGGCAGACTTTCCATGAGATCACCCCACAGTTTATGATCCTACTTTAAGCAGATTATACTTACTCATGGTATCAAAGCATTTGCATTAGAATAAGAGGCATGGAGTTAAGTGGTGGAAATCAATTTTCAAGAGGCAGTGAAACCAAACTTTCTGATCTCCTAGGTCATCTACTGCAATACTTGTCACAGATCTCAGGCTACTTTGTGAATTAGACAAAGTTACGACCTAAGGTATATACTCCTCCTTGACTTTCTTTGGGGATACCTCAGGCATAGTGTTGCCATGCATTTACAATATTCGCACAAAACGTGTCATTTCATATTCTATTCCTCTGCTGGTTACCTACACAGGAAACTAAAATGAAATGAAAATGCCCTTCTGCCAAATAGAGTGTTACAATGGGGAAAATTCACCTCTGAGGCAACCATGCTGAAAGAAGCAGTCTGATCCATGACAGGGGGATGAGTGAAGCTTTGTTGTAGTGGGCAAACTGAAGAGGCTCTGTCTTCATTTCCCAACCCGGATTAATGGAAAATAGTAGCAATTGTCTCCTCTGGCTAACATATTGTGACATAAGTAGGGGAATATCCCTGGTTTTATTTTTGGCTAAAACATATATTTAAAGTTTAATCATGATTCTCCAAAAAGCAAGGAACATAAGTGTGCTCACAAATGTTTATATAATGAAAACAATTTAAAATTAGGACTCCTTTTTCACCTTTCCTCACAATATAAACTCAGATTCTTAAGACCTCTACAGCACTTGGCAGAAGATCAAATTAATATTCAGGGATTCAAATTATATCTAGAATCTGCTCTTGTGGATAACCTTCATATAAATTCTGATTTATTTTGTTAATGTTTTGTGCATGTTTGTTTCTGTGTAAAGAGGAATGAGGGGTAGGAGGAATAAGAAACAATTTTAGCTTACAAACAGTTGTGCCACTCTAGCTTCTCTCCTCCTATTTATGTAATTCATAGTTGTTCTTCAGTGCCTTGATACAATGTACAATGGACTAAAAAGAAGAAAATCATACATTAAACCTTTTCCTATTTGACTGAGCACAGAACTTGACTCCTGCCATTTCAAGGGCTTAATGCCTTTTTCCACTTCCCCTGTAATGGAGAATGGATTTGCATTGCCTTAAACTGAAAAGTGTAACTAACTTTAGCATCTGGACTTGCGTTTGAACTGACATGGCTCGCTTTTTTTTCCACCCTGTTGTTTCTCTTCTAATGAGGTTTATGCCTTTCTTTTCTTTGAAACAGATTTCTAAAGATTGAATACACACAGTGAACAATCTAATGCAAGCCCGCATTTACATTCTCTCCCCCCTGGGTAATGAGGGGTAGGTTAGCCAAATACCCGTGTTTTTCAATATGCTTGGATTTTTTTTTTTTTTGAGAGTAAAATGTGAGTTCTTTTAAATATGTTAGCATCCTCTTTGTGAAAAAAAAAAAATCCCTGAAGGGTTGGACTTGTGGCTGACGACATGAGTAATTGGATACAGAGCATATTCTTTCTGAATCATTGGCTCAAATTCAGCCTAGGTCAATATAGGGAACAAAAGTCATCACACTTTAATGGTGCTTTTGCATGTTTTCTAACATACAAAATGTTAGATGTATTCAATGTATAGAAGTCTTATTTATACACAGATATCCACAGAGAGCCTGCCTGCATTAGAAGAAATTTGCCACAGTCAAGGTAATAAATTGATGGTCTCACAACATCTAAT